CTGGCTACTCGAGTCTGCCGCAGTACAGGACCACAGGAAACTAGTCAAGTTCCTCGTCAAATAATTACGTGAGTAAACCAAAAATCATAATAATTAATATTAGTTCTATATTATTAGTAGATTAAACGCAGATACGTTTAAAGCTAAAACAATTTAGATTCCGTTCTACTACTGAGATTTTTTGAACATCCTATATTTACAGAAGCAAAGAGACTTCCCAGTTGTAGGACATTGCGTCAGCACTAGTATATTTTTACGAAAATTTCATTAGATACTATTGTAAACTGATAGAGACAACACAAATAACATAATTACAACATAGCATAAAATGACATCACGCCTTTTATGCCCGAAGGGGTAGGCAGAGGTGTACATTACGGCATTTAATGCCACTTTCCAATGTAACACCCTGCATTTACTATTTATGTTTCACTATGTATGCCATATACCGGGCACAATTCCAGACTCCGTGCTACTACTGAGATTTTTTAAAATAGTCCAGTAATACTTTGCCCGACCCGGAAATCGAACCCCTTGTCCGGCAGTCGCAATTACTACATAGCTCGTAGAAATTAAGTCATAAAATGACACTTTTACACCGTAATCGACATCTTATTCGCTGTTTAATTACCGAAACATGGCCCACGTGTGCCCCACCTACTCATACTATAACAAATATAAAACATGGTATGTATATGGGTTAACTTGGAAAACAAAGCCTACTATGAATACAGCAATAAAGTTACGTGAGCATAAAAGTTGAGTGATGTGGTCATGGGCCACACACGAGTGCGGCTCTATTCTGTATCTAGTCAGAATTATGTTACCAAAGGTCATATGGCTCGATACGGAGTCGCGGAGAACCTAACGCGTTACTGAGGCTCCGGCTCGACGTGCAGGAGTAGGAACGGGGTGGTTTTTAGTCAGTAAGATTCTGACACTCCCTCCCGGCTCACCCAGGCAGGAGCAGTCGATGATTTTCCCCCTTTAAAAAAAGGTCATATAGCTGTGTAGCAGTTTAGTATTTGAAAAAAAAAATAAACAATGTTTCTCTACCAAAATCTAAATAAAATGGCCTCTCTAAACCTAAACTGCCTCTTTCTCTTGAGAAGTAGTTTGAACGAATCAAAATACACCAATTTGGTAATCCAGCTATCATGTTGAAGTTTTATCCACTAACCTAACCGAAAATCGCTCTATTTATTTATTTATTTACAGTCACAACGGTTGATAGCAAAAACCGTTTATAGTAACTGGACACATTAATAAAATAAACGATGAAATAATAAAACTAGAACAAAACATACACAACGAACAAGAAGAGTAAAACTTATTTAAAAAATGGTAGCATTCATAAGTTCTTCTCGCAGTACTTCAGGCCTTTCGATAAAGACAAAGACTATTATAAAGACAAAGCTCAATCAAGATAACTTATCATGACATCAGTACTCTGCAGGCTGCCCACGAGTCTCCTCTAATAACTCCAAAAGTGATCTGCTGATTAGAAGCGATGCTAAGTATTATTACAAACAAAAATACGAGCATTACAAATCTCAATTTATTGAGCTATTCAGAATAAGCGTGATACTTGTATAATAAGTCAAATCGTCCGACCGCCGGAGACTGATAGACGGATGGACAGACAGACACACGTATTTAATGCATGCCAGTCAGTGATTTACGCGCTCCGTCCTACACAGCAATTACTGGCCGACTGATCCGACGCTTAGAATAAAACCAACCGATTTATTGGATGACAATAATCGTCAAATCGGACTTTGGTTGCAGTTTATTATGTTTCGTTGCGGTAGAGCGGAACTGGGAGGTCTGGGCTAGTCTTAGGCGAAAGAATGTGACTGTAATACAGGTGTACTATTTGCAGGAATTAGGAATCAACATAATATCGGTGACCAAAAGGATGTGTGTGTATGCAACATGTATAAGATTAAATCGTTGCTTGCTTCTTGCTCCTACCATTTACTCTTCTCTGCACCACCCAAAAGTCAGACTGGGAGAAAATGACTGCGGCATTAAGTCCACCCTATGTACTCTTTGTGCATGAAGCGTTAATAAATAAATAAGTGAGATTGCATACCTATTCAAAACATGATTATGATATATGCATTGAAAAGTTGAAACAATTTATTTTAAACCTAAGAAACTACCCAATTATCTACCATCCTTGTTGATATCGCAACCAAAAATCAAATCTTACACTGTCTTGTGACCACAAAACAAACCAAAACACATTTCCAAATATAGTTACGTCTTTGTAAAAAAAGACGTTTGATCGAAATCAATGAATGTTAATCATGGATCACATATAAAGGTTTAATAGTAAATAATAGGGCATCACATAAATAAGACATCAAATAAACTCGGTTTGAGTGGCACACGTCGCCCGGTCGAGTCGTAAACGCAAATCAACTTTGGACAAACGGACACACAGGTATCGAATGTCTAAACGTAATTATTATTTTAATTCCAATCAAAGCAGTCACGAGGTCTTCATGTAAACTAAATCTATATCTATACTTATAATAAATCTGTAGAGAGGTCAATTCTGTACATAAAATATATTTAAAAAATAACTATCAAGGGGTGGTTAGGGATCGCTACTGATGCCAAAAATGCAATCAGTAAAATTTTTGTCTGTCTGTCTGTATGTTCGTTATGGAAACAAAAACTACTCGATGGATTTTAACGAAATTTGGCACAATTATTCTTCATACTCTTAGGCAGGTTATAGTATACTTTTCATTACGCTACGATCAATAGGAGCAGAGCAGTGAAGGGAAATATTGGGAAAACGGGAGAAGTTACCCCATTTTTTAAGCTTCCGTCACGTGTGCTGGCTTATAGGTTAAAGCTACATATAAATCATGTATAACGGAAATATTCTCCTTAAAATTATATAAAAAATATTCCTCGACAGCATATGTCTATCTTTTATGGTTGACTCACAATAACACGTGAAACTCCCGATAGCTTAGCAATTCGGTGATTTCTGATTGTATTTGTCTACTCTAACGTTTACAATACTCATTCATAGACTTTACGCTGTAACTGAAAGTCCAATGGTTGAAATTAGCTTGACTCGATATTATAAATGAAAATATGTGAGTTTATGTGTATGTTTGTTACTCAGTCATATTAAAACGACTGAAGGGACCGGAATGCAATTCGGAACAGAGGTAGATTATGGTCTGAAGTGATACATAGGCATTTTACCCCTGGGACCGCGGGCGAAGCCGCTGGCAGAAGCTAGTAAATAATATTTCTGTAAAATTTGTTGCTGATTGTTACATGTATGTATTAGTCTGTATTAACATCACTATATAGTAAGTAGTGGCCCCCTCACTATAATGTGATATATAAGGTAGGACACTCGTCATTAAGGTCGCTGTCTATCTGTCATACTCTGGTGTGTGTACACGTCGTGCGCTTTGCACATTATTATAATAAATCCAAGTAAAATAAATCAGACTATTAATTATATCAATCCACCAACATAACATATACATACATACAACATAACATAATAACTGGGTACGCCACGGCCTAATCGGACTGCAATTTATAGACTTACAAATAGCAGTTGACGTGAGTTAAAAAAAAAATAACGTACTGTCTCCTAACAGCAGGGCCGAGCCGCCCCTGTGTGCGAAGTGTGCGGCGCACACAGGCGCCAAGACAATAGGGGCGCCGTGTCGCGCCACCACCTCTACTTGAATTATTTTTGTTACCTAAATTATTATATTTTTGGTAGTACAGTATCAATAAGTACGTAGGTACAATAGGCGCAACATAGGCCTTGTATACAACAAAACTTATATTACGCTTATTAAACATGTCTCTCAATATTTATGTTTATTATTATTCACGTTTATGGTTTCATTTTACGCTTAGGGTTTTAGTTTACATTGCTTACTTACGAGTGACGAGCTCAACGTTAAAACGGCGGCAGTTCTTTTGAACCACAGATAAAGTAGGTACTAGTTATATTGAATCGTAAAGGCGCCGACTTTGTATGAGTGAGTTTGTGAACGCAACCCGATGCGATGCGTGCGAGGCACGAGGAGTAGGGTCACAGGGATTCCCCGATTTTAACGAACGAGAGAGTCAAGCCAAAACAAAACAATTGAACAATCATTTGATTGAAAGTGTGTGTAACTAACTTCAATGCATTGAACTTTTTACCGACTTTAAAAAAAGGAGGAGGCACTATGTTCGGCTGATTGTTTTTCTTTACAGTACACCGCCATTTGTGAAACGATTTCGAAAATTCTTGTTTTATTTGAAAGGGTATACTCCCGAGGTGGTCCCATTTCCATGAGGTCAGGATCTGATGATGGGATCCTAGGGAAACCGAGGGGAACTTTTGAAAATTCTATGGGCGAGTACTGCGTCTATTATGTCTGAATCTGAACTCCTCAGCGGTGGGTAAACTTTAAGTACTAATAATATGTAGTTATTTTTTGCTTTTTAGTTTTGACTTTTTGTTTGTTATTAGATTTTCGTTTTTTGAAGTCGATTTTTAAACGCAGTTTTTTATTTTATTATTTTCAGTGTAAAGCTTGTTTGTCACTTATAATCACATAGGGGCAAAGTTGTAATCAATACAAATTAATCAAGCCCAAATACAAAGCAGTTACTGTATGCCGTTGAGGAGTTCCCATAACAATTACACTTTTTCATCATCAGACCCTTAATGACAGTCCCACTCTATCTAGGTCTAAAGTCCTCATCAATAAAAATTAATCAAGCCCAAGCACAAGGTAGTTAATATAAACCGCTGAGGAGTTCTCTCGACTGTCTGTCGGCTCCATCGTCAGGTCGACTCCAGACCGTAATCAAATTGTAGTGTCTAAAAATTCTAATTGAAAAACATAATAGACGCATTACTCGCCCCTAAAATTTTCGAAAGTTCCCCTCGGTTTCCCTAGGATCCCATCATCAGATTCTGAGCTCATGGAAATGGGACCATCTCGAGAGTACCTATACCCTTTCAAACAAAATAAGATTTTTGGAAATCGGTTAACAAATGGCGGAGTAATGTGCGAACAAACAAAAAAAATCAATCAGCCGAACAAAGTACCTACCTCCTGCTTTTTTGAAGTCGGTAAAAACAGGCGCTCCATAGATTCCGCACACAGGCGCTGCCGGGGGTCGGCGCGGCCCTGCCTAACAGTATCAATGTCTTTTAACATGGATATAGCCTCTTTCAGCCTAGCTGTGTCGCTGCTAGGATGTCCATGTCAATTACGAGTAATCTGAGGCTATGACACGCAATAGTCTAATAACGCCACGAATCCATATACGACTTCTGTATGGTTGTTGCCACTGTTAGCTTTACGTTATGATTTATGGGTTTTTTTTTGGGAAAATTTGATATTTGATGCACTAACCTTTAACCACTATCTCGCCTGGTGGTAAGCGATGGTGCGGTCTACGAAGTCAGTCAAACGTATATAAACTTATGTGGTAAACTTAAGAACTTAAACTAAACTAAAAATAAATGATAATATTATTATAATTGACAAAATTAGTATTATAAATTTGATGACTAATTTAGGTAAGACTATGCCATACAATAAAGTGGTTTATTTCATTTAGATTGTCATTTGGAAGCTTACAAATTAATTTCAATATTGTTCTTATTTAAATCGTAATAAAATACGAAGAAAACAGTTCATGTCTTTTCAATCAGGGAATATGAATATTCTTTAATGTATTTCAGTTCTCTACAATTTTCATTAATTGACCTTTACAAATAATGTAATGTAAAAAAAAAACTATTTTAACATAAACCAAAACATATTCGACAGACCAAATGTTTAACCAATTGTAATTGAAGTCATCATTGTCATTAACATCAAAAAACAGAAATTTCCCTTATACCTATCATAATGATAACCTGAGTGATAATAATAATTCTGGTGATCAATCGACACTAGAGGGCAGTAAAGTGTTTGACACTAAACAGTTTATGGTCAGTATAAACCGATGCCCGGTCAGTTCATTCACTTCGACAGACATTCTGGAATTTGTTTAATTAGCTCCACAGTGGAGACTAATGGAAGTATTCCAGTAAATTAGAGTTATTTTTTTAAGGTGTAAATATTTTAGTTTTAAATTTTTTTTTATATATATATTTTAAGTTGTATATATTAATCGTCGCAAAGTAGTATAATGTTAATCAAAAAAATATTAAAGAAAGAAATAATACAGTTTTGATGCCTTAAAAAATTCCAGTAAATTGAATTAATAGAGAGTTAATGAGTTTAATCACCAAACATGTTAATTGGAGTTACAGTTCTCCTAAAAATATAGGAAGCCAATAAATATCTGATATTTAGCAACTATCTATCTATATAAATAAAAACGACTCGTTATATAGTGTCCCTAAAACTCGAGAACGGCTGAACTGATTTGGCTAATTTTGGTCTTAATATGTATCTATTTATGAAAGTCCCGAGAAGCTATAAATGGTGGAAAAAAATGTTTAGGCGGTCACCTAGAAGTTTGCCGGGCCAGCTAGTATGATATATTAAAGAAGGGCCATATTAGAAGTTCCCTTAACCGACGAGCATGCATGAAGAGACTGATGATTGTTGATGAAACGAAAGAGGTGCATATGTAGGAATCATAGCAATTGGTGTTCCATAGTCTGTGCCTACCTACATGAGAGACTAGCGTGAAGTTATGTATGTACTACAATAGGTATAAATATTGCAAAATACCCATACACATATCACATCGGGAAGTCAGATAGGTGTAGCATTATTTATAGTAACACTGTAATTAGATAAACACTTCCTTCGTAATACTAGATTCTAGTCCGAGGTATGTGTTGCTCATAGGACCACAAGACCGAGAAAAAGGAAGAAAGAATGAGTCTCACTATTCAATATATAACTCCAGGTTAGTAGCAATTTTATTTAACTTAACAAGTCTGGATGTAAGTTGTAAATGATACTAAAATATTTATAAGCTGACCGTAGTGGAATTGTCTGTCTGTCTCAAAATGTATTTTTTCTTCTATGACTATTAAATACACATTCGTTTGCTAAACTCTACATAATAATGTTATAATATATTCGTTGACCCACTAAACATGAGTAAAATGAGTTAGGTACTTGTGTTTTGAATTAAAAATACGTACTTAGTAATAATGAAGCCTACATTATAATAAAGGACGAGTATACTGCCAATATTAGGTAAATAGACTGACTAACTCTCTCAATTCCTCTCAATCAGGGAAAGCTCTCGAAGTATTTTTTTATGGGATAAGCCGGTGAAGGACTACATGGATCACCTGATGGTAGGCAATTGTAGCGGTCCATGGACACCTGAAACACCAGAGGCGTTACAAGTGCGTTACTGGCATGAATAAGGGAAATTGGGGGCTGGGGAGACCGGGGAGGCTGGTTAATTGAGCTTCCGGTAGATGTAGTTTAAATACACATCATACCAAGAAGAGCCAGTACTCCGAACTAGTATAAGTTATACAACCAATGAATAATCTCGAGGCGTCAGAATTTAACAACAGTAATACGATCGCGTATTGTAATTAACAATTTGCAGGCACCCGTACACGTATACATACATAGATATGTAGACACTTACATATATATATAGATAAACATAGGTCCTGATGAGATCATATAGTATATTTATAGTGATAAATAACGTCAGATTCATTAATTATTACTTTTGGATGGCTAAGAGCTAGGGTCATATGCCTATCACTGCCAAGACAAATAAGAGAGAAGGTTGTCTCCTCCAAATTTTTACGAAATTAAAATTTTAGGACGATTATTAACAAGAATATTAAGATACAATTTAGCAACAAGATCATAAAGATCTGAAAGAAGGTGCCTATAAAAGGTCTTCTTCAGTCTTCCTCGTAGGAATATCTATGCCTTCACCAATTATGTAGCAGCTCATAGGAGATGGTGCGTGGCCGGCATCAAGTGCACGGCGAGCTAGTTATGGTCGTCAGTGCAGTGTATCGACACCTTCACACTATTACACTGCGGTGCATAGTGAATGTGACACGTTTGAGGGAAACTAATTAATTACTTCACAAAAGAAATGTTAGTCGATTATTTTTGGGTCACGATTATTACGCATTGACTGCAAACTGATTGCAGTTCTATTGCAGTCATGACCAAACGGTTGCAAACCAAACGACCAGTCCGATTGCAGTCGTGTCAACTGCATCTGAACTACAATTTGCAGTTAAATTGCAGTTAAAATGCAGTTCGTCTGTTTAGAGCCTAACATGTTGGTCTCATTATTACCCTCAAAACACAATGTACTATGATATTTTTATTTCGTAAGCCATTGTGTTGTACCTTGTATTGTATGATGTAATTACTTGGTACCTGGACTGGCCTTGATATTCTAAATGTTGTTAAATCTTGAGTTTTTGGAACAAGTCTCTGATATTTTCAACCCCTATAATTAACGCGGCTTTTATTAACTACTAGTATATAAGGCAGAATTTACAGTAGTACATCTACACTAGATTAGTAGCGACCCACTACAACATACTTTAAAAACTTCCAAATTATGGTGTAAAATTAATCAGAAGTTGCCTTTGTGTGAGTACTTGGACAACTTATACTAACAATGTGTTTGTTTTTATGGGATAAGCCAGTAAACGAGCAAGAGGAACACCTGATGGTAAGCAATCGTCGTCGCTCATAGACACTCTGGACCCCAGAGGTGTTCCAAGTGCGTTACCGGCTTTTTAAGGATTAGGAATTTGAGGATTTTTGAGGATTCAGGGATGAGGGTAGGGTAATTGGGCATCCGGTAACCTCACTCACACGACGAAACATAACGCAAGCGTTACTTCACATCGGTTTTCTGTGAGGCCGTGGTATTACTCCGGTCGAGCAAGTTTCGTCACCCATTCGTGCCGAAGCATGGCTCTCCCACACTCTTGTTCCAACTTCACTTATGTGGCATGTAACACAGTAACACAGTGACAGTCATTATCCTCGATGACATACACACACACACACCGATGTCCAGATCCCGTGTCCTGCAGTGTACACATCGATCACAAGATACCTTCGATAAAGCTTGACGGGACATTAAAACATTTTAAAATGCAATAAATAAATCCCTTAACGACGCAGGCTACGGCCGGCTATTAATCAAGTGCTCACTTCAAGCTACTTTTTATTACATGTAAATGAGTGCCTCGTAATACTCAGGTTTATGCTCTCTGTTACAGTAGTGTGTGTGAGCAGGCAGTGTAGTCCTGCCCCTATTGTGTGTGTTGGAACTGGGTGCTAAGTTGAGTAATTTATTCCAGTAGGTAGTTAACTGTATGACTGGCTACTGATTAGTTCGTCAGATCGCCTATTTAGTACTTGGATTTTTTTCACATTTGTTTAATGAGGAGTATAATGCCTTAATGAGTTATATTCAAATAAGCTTCATATTTAGTTCAAATCAATGTTACACTTGAAAAACATACAAAAATAGGTCAATCCTAGATCCTAGACAACAACTCGATATAAGTCTACACAGATTGCTGTTGAGTTGAGATACACAGGTGTAAACGACCTTACGTCTTAACATCTAAAGCTGGGTGCACACGAGCGCAGCTTTATTACAAATATCACTAACAATCCGTCGGGCCGCGTCATTAAACCCCCATCGGCTCACAATGGCATAAATAACGACGGATTTATTCCTATATTTATTTATTTATATGTGTTATTTATTTATTACCCGTCCGGTCTGCACTTGGCTTTATAGATTTTTTTATACTTGCCCTCTTGATCGAGATGTATTAAAATGTTTATTGTCTAATCTATTTGGAGGTATTAAACGGAGGTTTAATTTGGGTAAACATTCTTATTTGATTACAATAAAGATAAAGGATTTCTCGAATTTTGTTTGTTTATTGGAATTGGAATGTTATGGATGAAGAAACAAAAAGCTTTCTTAAAACAATAAAACACCATAAAATTATGTACAGGTAAGATGCAGCTTTTTCTACTGCTAAAAACTTCAGATTGTAAAACAATATCTAATTTGTTACTACTGTAGGAAGATACTTCGCCAAAGCAACGATTCAAATCATAAAACAGTCAATGTATCTATAAAACACTCACAACAATGATAAAATAAGTCCCTAATGATAAAAAGCTTGCAAAAAATGATGTACCTGTATCGTCAATCTGTTGACCTAACCATCAATGTTGTCATCTCAAAACAACCTCACAGGACACACTGTAACTTAATTCGATTGCATTAGTTTTTGTGTTGCCACATCCTAAACGAATATTTATTTTGAAAACAACGGTTGTCATCCCGTCAAGGAAGTTAACCTGACATTATTGTTTTTAAAATTTTTGTTAACTTTTTGAAGCAATCAAGTTATCATCGGATCAATAAAATAGTTTTTGATTTTAACACAATTTCCTATTGAAAACACTGCTGCGTTTTTTAACATCCTCATTTAAAAGAGGAGTTTTTATTTCTATCAAGTGTTGGCAAATATTTAAAGTTACAAAGTAACTATCTCACCAAGAATTTTAATTGACAGGAACGAATCACTGTAAACGTTGTGATTCAGTCATTATCTGTTATACTATGTGTTTACCTACAAAATAGTCAAGCAATTAATAAAAAATTGACTTGAAAATTATTTACTACAGATATCAGAACAACACACAAACAGGGTCAGTAGTCAAGTAGTCAGCAGAAGTCAAAGAAGGATATTTAGAATTCATCTTTCGAACTCGGGACTATGAGCATTGTTTTTCCTGCGGTGCACACTGGGCGCGGTGCATTTTCACCGGCTCAATCCCGAGAAGGAGATATCTGAACATCAAAAATACTACAGATATAATAATATGTCCACATACTTAATAAAGAAACTAAACCTATAAATAACTAATTACAAAGACCATCAAAATGTTGAAAATGAAAATTTTAACATTTTAAAATGTTCCGCCAATAAGACAGGATTCAAGTAGACGGCTCGATGACTACATATCAGTATTTATAATCCTCCTTAAAGTGCAAACCCTTATCTCCTCAAAGTGCATGAGTAGGAACGAGGTGGTTTTTAGTCAGTAAGAGTCTGACACTCCCTCCCGCCTCAGCCGGGCGGGAGCAGTAATTGGACCATTGTCCGTCCTCAAAAAAAATCTCCTATTGTAGGTACTTATACCAGTATCACATAGACTTACTTCGACTGAATTACTCACTTAATTGACGATACTTTTTCCACATGATAATATGGCCAAACCAAAATTATTTCCGTTGATTCAAGCGTTAGAAAAATTTTGTTCGTTTTCTTTCAAAAATCAAAAACAATTTGATTTACAACAACTCCTGGTATATAGTTTGATACTGCACCCAGCATCCTCGGCAGACAATCAATAAGATCAGTATACGGACCGTGTCTGCTCATTAAGTCCACTCCGACATCCGGTCACACAATACACGACTCATAATAATTTAACCGACATCAAAGATCCAATAAATCTAACATTAATAACTCTATTCGTTTGTTGTGCTACATTTGTTCATTACAATAGCTACCTTGTTGCTGTAATGATATGGTTGGGTTTCGGTTGTGGTGTGGTGGGTATTTTAATCCCTGCAATAAAAAGGTGTGGTATAAAACGGTAGCCAACAGGATTACCTATAGGTTTTGTATCAAAGTCGCGCTGACGGGTTGATTTTAGTGATGTGCTTGTGTTTCGTCGATGTTATTTGTGTCTAGATTGGTTTTTTGGGTCTATAAAATTATGATGATGGAGAGTGAGATTTATGCAGTCCTGTTTTTATACTAAATAGAATAGATAAAAATTATTGCCTTGTTAGTTTAGTTACCATCTGTAAATATGGATGTAGATAAATTTCGGATACATGTTTGTATTTGAGCAGTTCCCTAATTAAAGACTAGTAAAATGTTGTGTAAGTTAAAACTTAAATACTCTACAACTAATCACATCACAAGTGATGTCTTCTGTCTGTACTTAGGTAAGTAAGTACCTTCAGGAAATAAGAGTAAAATTTGTAATAATATTTATATCATATTAATTTATAGGTCAAATTACAAACTTTATCGACAACAAACATCGACACAGTAACAACATTAGTAACTAATATTAATTATAAATGATTCAGGCGTCATTAGCGGAGGCAAGATCTTACGATACAAAGACTATTGCTGTCTCGCTCGCACTCACAAAGCTTGATGTAACGTGAGAACCTGCTGGGACCCTGAGCAGAGTCAGGCGTGATGATACAGGCTGGGTACAAAGATCTTTGACAATTGACATGGTGAGATTTCACGTGACAGAAAGTTTAAATATTCTAGAATCTTCATTTCGAATTCGGTCCGTCATTTCATTGGTTGTCAGAATAATCTCGACCAATGACGGGTCAGAATGTGATCGAGTTCGTTAAGTTGTAGAATAGCCTAATACTTACTGATTAAACATCACCCCGTTCTAACTCTTGGTCCTCGCAGTGGGTTCATTGTGGCTGATGTTGATAGTGAAATTGAATGAGGAAGCTTCGTGATAACTGACTAAGGAGTTGTCATCTTCATCTTTAATAAGAAGATTATTCAGTACCGAAATAAAGGCTTTCAGCGAACACCCGTCATTCAGAGGCTGGCTGTGGTTTGAAAGTTAAAATTTTTCGTATTTTGATTTTTCACAAAATACCTCAGCTGGTTAAGATATTTAGATTTTGAAGCAAATAACAAGTATTAATTCGCAACCAGGTCGTAACTGTTTTACTAAACCTTTAGTTAGCAATTAAGTTTAGAAAGTGTACAACTTCAGTATTTATAATCAATTGTAATTATTACAACATAATTGGTATTATTTCTTAATTCATTGCCATAAAATTCCACGTAGGTTTTATTTCTAATTCGATTTATGAGTCCAAATCAAAAAAACATATCCATGTTCATACAAATCAAATGTTCCTTTATTGAAGTCGAATCCATCACACTAGCTCCACTCTACAACAGTCGCAAAGCAATTTATTTTTTCATCTTCCTAATAACATAAACTTATTAACTGCAATAGTCATAAACTATGAATGAACCATAGAAACGGATAGATCCCACAAAACCCACCCCCTATACAAGCATGCGCGCGCGCAGCCATTCATGTTGTTTTTTCTGCGCGTTTACCTGCAACTTCCTTCCTACAACGATCCATTACTATGAATGACATTCCACGTCTGACAGTTAAATGGATACCCCGACACTTATGCTGTGATACATTTTTAACGTCAACTTAAAAGTTAATCTTATTCTCATAGGTGTGAAGTTTAAAATCCTTTGAAGATTTAATTTTGAAATGGTAGAGTAACAACGGTAGAATTTACACTCCATTAAACTGGTGCACATCCTTATGACCAGCAACTAAAGGTCAAATTCCAATAAAATTTAGTAATTTATCAGCAAAATACAGTTTTTATTTTTCCTAGCGTGCGTAAACGATACGTACGGTCGCCGTAAACTCCTGCGCATTGTTGATCGGTGCCACACTGTCTGCCGACTCGAGTTTTTGTTCAAATTTAGAACGTCGTGTTTTTTTACATTTAACTTTTAAGCTAATGATACTTGACAGTGATGAGACTGTCAACTTGGTTACAGAATTATGAAGAAAATG